AGACTTTAAGTTATTCCCAGTGATCTACAAGATTGGATCCTTTCATATGGGATCTCAAAGATGTGACGACTCAGGGAGTATGTGACTAGCAGTAGGAAACTCTTTTCCTACCCTCTCACCTCACCCTTGTCACAAATATCTTAGTATTGGGAATGTGTTGCATTTTAGCAGATATCAATATGTAGTTTCAGAATGTCTAATTCTCAGAGAAATTGTCCCAATTCTTCAACTCCTTTGAAAGAATTTCAACTAATTTTTCCTTAAAGTTTGATAATTTTATCTCAAAACCACAGTCTACCTAATCTATAGTGATCTTTAGAGGTCCCCTTAATTTCTAAAGAATTTGTTCTTCACACAAGCTTTTGGCACCTGACTAAATGCTGAGAAGGGATCAGAAATGGCAAGAATTGGACAGCACAGGCAATAAGGACTGGCCAAACAGCACAGGCAATAAGGACTGGGGTAGCAGATGGGGAGTCTCCCTCCTCCTGCATGTCTTAGGCTTCTTTTACCCTCCTATCTCCTCTAAGTACTGTAGCCCTTCTTCTGACATTTTCTGTCATCTCATTCCTCTTGACAACCTCGAGCTCTCATTTTCTTTGATATTTTCTCAAATGATTGCATTCTATAATGATTGCTCCCTTTCCAAATTCCTAGAGACTTTATTTTCTATTCTACTTATCTGGGTTCTTAATCATATGTGCAATTGCTTATTAGGTAAATATTTATACTGAACATCTATAGGTACCGAGCACTGTTCTATGTTCTAGAGATGAAACAGTGAACAAGACAGACGAGCTTATCTAGTTTCAGTATACAGGCTTCCCACACTATCCAAAGGTAGAGCCTTCTTATGAAAACTTTCGTAAACCAAAATGGTGACACATCTTGCTAACGAATGCACAAAATAAATCGAGAGAAAGCAGAGATGCTCACAGACACAGTTCAAAGCTCTGGGGCTTGATGCTGAGTGTGGTTCTTGGGGAAGGAGCTTGGTGGGGCCACTCTTGCTGCTCAGGATGCGTGCTGCCTCTATAACAGCTCGCTGGAAAACAAATACTGAACGCTATTTTTTATTTTTGCCCTTTCTTTGTAAAAGCAAAAGTCCTCTTAGGATTTCTTTCAGTTAGTGCAAGCAGGCACTAATGTATGTCTTTCATAAAAATTAAGTGGCATAAAGCAATTGAAAAGGAGGGAATGACTATACTTCACATGTGTTTATCTGTCTCCCAGCGAGATTATAAATTGTAATATCAGCCAAGGAGTATCACGTGACCCTTTTATTAGCCTTTACAAAGTCTAGTTCAATACAGTTGACTAAATGGTTAGGGACTGGCCCTGCAGCAGATCAGTGTTGCCTGTACTCCTTACACTTCTTGTCCCATTCTTTTGAACACCTCTCTCACCTTGCCTTTTCACATAACTTAGACTCATATACTTACAGCAACCAAAAATATAATGTTCTGTCTCTTATTGGGGGGAAAAACTATCTTCAAAATCTATTCTTTTAACCCATAAAAGTATACCCACTGTGGCTTGCCCAAGTTTCCATACTGTCAGTTTGCACAATCTAATATGAGCTAAGAGAGCATGAAGTGCGGTCTTGTGGATGGAGAGAAACAAAATTTGGAGTTAGGAGGCACAGAGAACTTAACTCAAGTTTGGCAAGACTTCAACCAGAACTGCCTTTTTCTTCTATTCAGGCCCTCAGTGGATTGAATCATGCCCATCCACATTGGTGAGGTTGATCTTCTTTGCTCAATCTACCAATTAAAATGCTAATCTCTTCTGGAAACATCTTCATAGATACCTAAAAATAACGTTTTACCAACTATCTGGGCATTTCTTAGCCAAGTCTAGTTGACACAAAATTAATCATCACAATTACTGGTTCATATATTTGGATTTATTGATACTTAGAGATCTATTTCATCTGAACAGTGACATTAATCAATGTCCCAACCTTGGCATTTGGGGTAAGGGACACTTATCATAATAAAATTCTTCCTACAAGAACTGAAAATATTAGAGTTTCGACCCTTCAGTTTTAAAAGCTCTTCAAAAGTACACACCAGAAAGTCTTCTATTCACACTTCACCAAAATACTTAGAGGTGTTTAATAAATTGTACTGAAACCATCTAAATCTGCACAGAGCAAACTGTTATGCATGAAGACCAAATGAGAAAAACCTGGGAGTCATGTCTGATTCCTCTTTCTCTCTAGCACACACCCAGTCCATCAACAAATTCTAATGGATCTACACTCCACACGTAGACTCACCACTTCCACAGTTGCCACCATGATTCAAGCCACAGTAATCTCTCACATAGATTATTAAAATATCCTCCTTGCCCTATCTCCAGATTTATCCCCTAAGACTTGGTCTCAACAATGCAGCAGTGATCTTTTAAAAACATAACCCATATCACGTTACTCCTCTGCCCATCTAGTTTCGGGCTTACAAAAGTTGCTCAGTCAAACAGCTGGCTTACAATGATGCTTCAGGATTCCAGGTATCAGTGTTAACCCAAACCTCATGAGCAACAGTTTTTAAGATCTCTGGGTACTCTCATTTACCCAGTATATAGCTGCTGACGAAAATTGCCATGGCTCTCTTTTGGGAAGGATTGGGGTGATCATTACCATGCTTCCCTCCGGAGAAACAACACCTCCTTTAATTAATGCATTCTGGGTCTATAAACAGGCTCAGGTCTAGACACTGGGCAAAGAATTGTGCCTTTTTGTTAGGGGAACCTCTCAGCCTTTTGGTCATGTATTCCTCATATCTTTTGATTGTAGAAATTAAGTAAAATCCTTGTTAATTGCCCACTTATTCTGCCCTCATGGACACTGTGGTGAAAATGGAGATAGCTCTTAGATCCCCTTCAAAGAACTTGTTGCCCCAGCTCCTAGGTTAAGTCAGTGGGCAGCCTTTAGGTGTCCTGTAACCTTGCCATTCATTACAATAATTATGGCCATTCAACTTCTGATGATTATGCACTATGACCTGGCCTCTGTTATTTTAGAATTCTATTATCCCCATTGCTATCAGCGGGCCCAGTTCACAACAGCATCTTCTGCTTTCAGCCCTGTGCTACAGAGAGCAGCCACCACTGAACTAAGTGATGCTGGTATCCCTCTCATTTGTTACTTGAGAAGCAGTCAGTACAAGAAGGACACTCTGACATTCCTCTCCGTTTCCTTGAAAGCAGGAAACAAATCTCCCACGTGAAAGGTACCCTCCACGCACTGGGAGGTAAAGAGACATCCTGATTGCCAGAGATAGAAAATTCAGAATCAAGAAAGCTTAATTTCTTCGCTAATTAGTACCCAAGCCTAAGTTTCTGTTTTGTCAATTCTTCTTTACAATTTTTTTGGGGTCTAAAAAATATAAAAACTGTCTGTTTTGGTCCTTTCTTTAGGTCCCATATCATATGAGACCTCCATACGCACAAAATTAAACTTGATTTTCTCCTATTAATGCGTCTCATGTCAATTTAATTCCTAAACCAGCCAGAAGAACCTAGGAAGGTAGAATAAACCGTTTTCCTCCCAGACATGTGATAACCTGAGTTTGGAGCTCAAGCAGGCAGTCTGATTCAGAATTTATGCTTCTTACCACTATTTAGGAATATCTGAGAAGTAGCTACATAGAGACGTTTCCAGTCTTTCATTCTGAAGTTAAATAAGGGTCTTCAGGGGAAACTAGAAGAGCCAGAGTCACTCTTCACTAATGGATACCAATGCTTCTAAATCTAGGGTAGGGCAAAGGACATGGATAGCTGAAAAAAGCTCCCACAGATAATTACAACTTTTCTCCCCCACCGGCATTGAGAATCCCTTGTGTAGGAGATGAAAGAGAAGCTGTCAAGGAAATATTTATGAAATAAGCTTTGAGTGTTGTTGATTTTTGTCATGTGTTTAAATAAAGCTAATCTGTGTGGCAACCAGGAACTTGAAAAAAGTCCACAAAATAGCTGCTTCGCCTCTAATGGGAAGTGTTTTAAAGTACGTAAGTAAACTGCCAAATGTATTCTAAAATAAAACTGCCTTTCCCCCTTAAAATAGGTGAATATATACTTTATGCAACACAACTGGGGGTTTCATTAATTTAAGATTGATTTAAAGAAATTGTTTCAAATTCAGAAAACGGATCCGATGAGGAAAACTTGTATTATTAAGAGAGAGCATTTTCCACTAATTTATTTCATTTTATATTCTATAAAACAGTCATGAAATCATTGAAAACACTACTTTGCCAATGTTGAAATGATAAAACTACAGATTATGACTCAGAATGATGGAATTTAAACTCAAGGAAAAACTGCCAAGCTCCTGATCTCATACCATTTTCTGCCAATTTGATTACTTTCTATCTGTATTAGTGTTCGTATTCTTCTTAGCGCCCTGTTTTTGAACCTTATCATCTTTTTACTCTCATAGAGGGAAAAAAAAATAAGGAAACTAATAATTAGTGTGTACATACTAGACTTTGTGCTAGGCACTTCCCACAAAAAATCTCCAAATAGCAGATCAACCAAATGTTATCTGTATCACTTTTTGCAATTCATTTTGGCTAATAGTGTTTTATAGTAGATTTGTGTTTTTAATCATCATTGCTAAGTATTCCTAAATACATATCACAGAACCAGGAGAGAGGCGATCTAAGCTTAAATATTGATCATGGATAAGCCACAAAGTAAATAATCCATGAATGGATAGTAACATTTTCACTAAAATTTAAGATCTGTATCACCTTATCCAACAATGGTGCCACGTTCACATTAAAATAATCCCAGATTTCATCCCAAATCCTTTAGCACCTGCATTTCTCCCTTTACAGTCTTTACTATATGAAAACTATGTAACTGCTGCTTGTTTACTTGCTTATATTTGATCTACGGTCTAGATTCTAGTTTGTAAAAATCTAGATATTTAGCTGTCAAGAGTGCAGAGAGCATTTCCAATGCCAAGCATTACACCAGTCACGTAACAGGAACATAATATATTTATTGACTGAACAAATAAACCAACTCTAAAAGAATGTTTCATAGCTTGGGTTTCAGTGAATGCTAGACTACTGAAATATTACTTTACAGAACAATCTCAATTAATCAATGACATGCTTTTCTTGTATTTACCCAAAATCACAATGTTTTTTCTCTCTAGTATCCAAGATTATCTCTTTAAAAATATCTAGAATTAAGAAAAAAATAAGTCTCATAGACGACAGCTATAAAAAAAAAATTGAGAGGAAAAACAAAGGAAAAGGAAAGACTGGTAACCATAATACAAAGTCCTATGCCTGATTTTCTTGAAAAGATAAATAAATTTCCTCAGATTTTCTTGATGTTTTTCTAGGCCTTCATATCCGAACTTCCCACTAATTACAAAAAGACTCCTTTATTACAGTTCCTGGCACAGAAAAATGTGAAGTCCTTTTTGATCTGACGGTCTTTGAAGACTGGTCTCTGCTAAGGACACGCCTCTCCCAGCATTCACATGACCGGCTCCTTTTCATTTCATTCACATGGCCTTTTCTGAATGTTCTCTCTCAGTTGTTTCCCCATTGATTTCTTTTTCATAGCACATAATATTATTTGTATTAATAAATGCACTCATGTGTATTTGTTTACTATCTGTCCCTTACCCACACCTACCTGTAACCTCCGTGACCTTTTGATCTCTGGCACCCAGTGCAATGCCCAATACATAATGAACACTCAAAATGATTTAAATTAAATTAAAAAAATGACAGCTACATTTAGCATTATATTCATTATACTTATTTTTCTGTGATTCTAAGCATTTGTGATTTTTAGTTTTTAATATATTGCATTGCCCTTGCTAGATTACTTCTTCATATTCATAGAACAACATAAACTACTGCCAATAATATGGTAATATTGTGATACAAAAAATCCTGAAAACTTTTTAAGATGAAAATAAAATGATGTTTCATGTAATATTAACATTAGTATGTGTTAATGTGCTCCAGATTAGAAAAACTGATCATTCCCTCTCTAATAACTAGAAAGGGAAATTATAAACTAAGGAGACAACCATTCTCAATGCTATTCTCAGAAATAGTTTTGTTCCTGTTACCTATGACTCAATAACCTACCAGCTTAAGACAATAACATTTATTTTGCTCATCAGAACAGCTCGTTTCTGTTCTACTCAATGTCAGCTGAGTGACTTAAAGTTTGGGTTATGAATCATCTGAAGATTTGTCATTCCCATATCTGCCACCTGGGCTGAGAAGACTCAAATAGCTCAGGGCTGGAGCATCTAGAACTCCTCACGCATCTCTCTCTAACCCAAAGTAATTTTCACGTTGCCTCTCCAGCATGATGTCCTCAGCATAGCTGGTCTTCTCACACTTTGGTTTAGGATATGTCCCAAGAGATAGAGAGCCATGTGGAAGCAGGACTGGCAACATAATTCATGAAGCCCATTGCAAATTGCAAACGTAGGACTTCTAGTTCAAAAATTACTAAGAATTTCAAGATGGCAACAATAAAGCATTAAACGAAGCATGGGGCCCTTTTGAGCATGGTTGCACAGGTCACATGCCTTTGACACTGAGCTTGGGTGGAAGCCATATTGTATTGCATGATCCAGCATTACTCAGTGTCACTCCTGCTGCATTCTGTTCATTGCAGTAGTCATAAAGGCCCACCAAATTTCAAGAAAAGGAGAAATAACTCCACATCTTGTTGGGAGTGACCATGACCTGAAAGAGAATGTAGGGTTGGAACTTTCACTAGGGCCATTTCTGAAAATAAAGTCTACCATGTTTGCTATAAGTAACTGGTTTGCCATCTTGAGTTGAAAAATTTATACTGACAACTATTATAGCCTCCACATATATAGGGAACTTTCTCTGTATGGGATACTGACAAAGCACTTCAAAGACATCATTTCATCTAATCTTCATGACTCCCCATTCAGCAGGTACAGTGCTACCATTCCTATTACAGAGCTGATATCACAGGAAGGTAGAAAGTGATCATACAGCTAATAAGTAACAGAACAGGGAATTGATCCAGGTCTGATGCCAAGAGTGCTTATCGGTTATGCTGTTGAAGTGAATTTCTCAAGAGACAAATCTGGAAAGGACTGTGCTTTTCTCGTTTCCTACCACCAGGTGATTCAATAAGGCTTAGCTCCAGTGCATGCCTAACAGGTTGTCTCCATAGTTCATAATTTCTCTTTCTCTGGTACTCCCCTTGTCCCTCTGTCCTCATGGCACATATGTTCACATGACTGGTTTTAAAGTCCAGTCTACATGGGAAAATAACTGGGACAGGGTTTCACCCCTGGAATGGAAGGCAGGAAGAGAGAGAGAGACAGATAAAGATCGGTGGATTTGGTCTGTCTTCAGGGTCTAAATCTGAAATATACAAATCTGGGCACCATATGCAGCTCTATTTTCCATCCTGTGTTCTGAGGAGAATAGATTTATAAAAAGAGAAAAGAATTAAGTGGGCAAAGAGTAGCAAGCCATGAAAGAGAAACAGAGTACCAATAATACTGTATTTGTCTAAATTTTCTCAGTCTATTCTTAATGCCCAACTATATCCCCGATACTAAGAGAACTACATTAGTTAGGCTACACTTTATGTTTTGCTATTGGACTAAGTAGTTCTCCTAATCCTAACACATACAGGTAAAATAACAGCTTGCCTCAATTTACAGAGAGCAAATTCTATAAATAGCCAGTGGGCTTCCCAAATTAAAAAGATAAAAAATAATTTCATAGTTTTTCACGTGCTCTATAAACTATGAAGGCAAATCCAAGTTACTTTTAGGCAATAACTAAAAATTGAAAAATCCGTATATAACAATTAAATGCAATAGATACCTTGTGATTACTATTAGAAAAAAAAGCACATCAAAGCCAATCAATCAAAGCTGTTTTAGTCTGCCTTCGGAATTTTAAAGAAAAAAACTTTACCTCTGCAAAAGGGACTTTCCTCAAGTGTCTCCAGTCCATTTATAGGTGAGGTGATAAAATCAATTACATATATTTTAAATTTCTCCCAGTTTAAAAAAAAAAAAACATTTGGTGAAATCTGCTTCTCTGCCCTCCCCCAGCACACCCACTTCAATTACTTATTCATTATCTAATTCTACATACAATTCATAGTAGCTTTGGCATCGCAGGAGAAGCATTTCAGCTTGTATCAAGAGTGCTCCCTCCAGGTTCTGTAAAAAGGGAGAGCAGCAGTTAAAACTGTACTCCCATCTGAAGAGCCTTGCTCTCCTTCTCTCATGCTTTTCCAACCACCTGGGGGCTCCATCTTCTTCATCGGGGGAACCATGTCCCAAGCCTGCAGTTTACGGTGAGGGAACTGGAGGAGGAGCTTGGATCTTGGTGAACAGCTGGGCCCCATCACTCCTCATTGCAGGTCTTGGGGAGATGTGGTTGACAGAGTGATGCACAGAGCCTGTCCCACTTAATGACTTCACCATTCTCCATCATTATCCCCATCATTAGGAAATTAGAAGGACAGAAGGTATTTACTGTAAACCTGCCACCTCCCAAGGAGAGATAAATAGAAACTGATAAATGGGCTCTTCTGGTGCTGTTCGTCTATTAACCTTCTGCTTCCCAGCTCCGGCATATGCATGCCATCCTGCCATTAATATCCAGTAATTGGCATGGCAGCGGGCAATACAATCATACCTTTACTGTGAGCATTCCCTCCGTGCGCTGTGCCTGCGCAAGCACACAATTACGTTCATAATGAAGCTTTGCTAAACAGTCCGGTTGAAAGACATTAGGCAGTTGTTCCCCAGTCATAACACCAGCCTCCCACAGTCATTCAGAGCTTAACTCTTCACTAGCCTGGGCACCGGCTGCCTGCTATTACGAATCTCTCTACTGCCTTTGCCTCCATTTTAATCTATTCCTCAAAGGTATATTCTTGGTTTTTGTTTTGGTTTGTTTTCTTTAAAACGGCTTTTCTTTCTTACCTCTGTGTTCCTTGGGAGCAAAGACATAGCCAGCCTATGAATGAGTTGGAACCGCCTCCCTAGGTGACTGCCTGGCAGGAGGACAGAACGAAGTTTCAGCCATGTTGAGGCCACGGGTGACCACCTCGGGAAAATGCCCCTCATTTGTCAGTTGAGAGCCAAGCTGTTTAGTGGTATTTCCCAGGGAGATTTTGTGTTCTTTAGTGCATTCCTAGGTGATAAGGGGGGGAAAAGAATGTATCTCATCAAATTTATTCTCTATGATAACAAAACAGAAAGGAGGGTAATAATCTTGGTGACTTATCTTAAAAAGACATCATTCTCAATTTTCACCTGCTCAAAACTCTCAGGGATCTTGAAGGAGCATGAATCCCAGGAGATCCTGAAAGAGTTTACAGAAAATGGAGGTCCACAAAGAGAGCTACCTCATTCTGTTACCCATCTGCTCACTCTGTGGCTGCAAAATGAACATTTGGTCTCTGCTTCGCTGACCTAGTTCTTCCCAAGTTACATTCCAGTATTTACTATAAAGACTTTATAACAGTGACTGCAGTGGGCAAACTGTTTCACAGGATGAAACATGAAAAGCAAAGATGAGTAATCTCTTAAAAGCATAGGGCAGATTCTATGAAATGAATCAAGATGGTCCTAAACATGGCCCTGAGAGGTAAAAAAAAAAAAGAAAAAAAAAGTTGCAAGGCGGGAGGAGAGGTTGGGGAGAGGTAATATCAGCAAAGAGATAAAAAGCAATAAAAAGACCACAGAGAAAAAAATGACATGACAATCTTATTACTGGTGTTCAGGAACCATAGCCTCTCTGTCAGAAAAATACCAGATCACCCATTTGAGAACTTCATAAAACTAAATGATCAATAGATTATAGCTCTGGCCCTCCTTCCACACAGCATAAAACAAATAATAATATCTCCAATAAATATAACAAATAGGGCAATCTTTCCCATTTCCTGCAGACCCCTGACAGAACATGCTACAAGATCTTTTCATTTCCTCTTCAGGAGGATACTAAGCAGCTTGCCAGACTCCCAGTCAAGCACAGCCTCTCCAGCTGTCTCCCAAGGATCCACCTTTAAATATAGAATCCGGGTATAGCTGGGCAGTCCCGCACTCAAGGAGGCTTTCATTCCACAGAAACACCTGGGGGCAAGCCTCTGTCAGTCAGCCTTCTATTAACTAAAACTCTCCAGGTGCTGGCACCAGCAACACACCTCTAAGTAGAAAGATGTTTGTCATGATGACCTGAAGACAAGTTAAAAGACTGACATGAATTCTGCTTCTTCACAATTTCTTATCGCTATCTGCCCTTATTTATATTTTTACAAAGCCTTGCACATTATCTCTTCTGGTTCACAACAAAGTCCAGTGTAGTCATTAAGAGATGATTATCAGGATCTCTATTGTACAGCTGTGAAGACTAAAACTCAGAAAGGGCATGTGACTTTCCCCGGTTGTATAGCTGGAACCAGAATCCTTCCTTTTCAGGACTGCTGTGTTGCCAACTCTAGCAGGAATCATTCACAGTGTATTGTACGTGACCAGTACTTCTGCAGTTGGACAACGCAGCTGCCCTAAAAAGCAGCACAATATAGTGGAAATAGTGGAAATGGTTTGAAATGAGGGACCTAATTTTACCACTTACTAGCTGCATTACCCAAGATAATTTTTAAATTTCCATGAATTTTAGTTTCCTCATCTGCGAAATGGGATGATGATAATAAAAATCTCTACAGCATAGATGCTATGTTAATATATGACAATCTAAGAAAAACACTTCCTAGAGCACGTCTTTCTCTGTCTTTCCCCTTTTCTTCTATGTTATAAATACTTTACCATGTTGCCCTTTAGTCCAGGAAAAGTTTAATGTAAATACATTTTGCAATATTCTAGTTCTTTGGAAATCAATAAACTATATAACGTAATAGTGATTCTTTTTTAAATAAACTAACATTAACCAGAGTATTTCATTCCCATACCATGTCAGATGAATATTCCTTTAATTCCTAGTTGTCCTAATCAAGAAACAACCTCTTCTTCATTTGTCCAACACAGAAGATAACAAAGGTATTACAGTATCTGACTAAAGGATTAGTTATAATCAAGAGATATTTGTGCACAGTATAAAATAAAAATACAATATAAGACATATTAAAATTCTTCTGCCATCCCCACCACAAGAAATTTCTCTGACTTTTGTTCTCCTTAGTACTCACTTGTTACCATGAGTGCTATAAGTCTACTCTCTCAAGTATATTCTTGTCATTCATTTCTCTTCTTCCATGTCAAGAAGTTTATCAATCCCAATTTCCAACATTAACAGCTGACAATTCTAATAAACCCAATTTTTATTAGGCAGAATCATTTCATTGTCTGGGATCCATCCCACACCTTTCAGACCATGCTCAGGCTCTCTTCATTTGAGATTCTCATTTGGGCAGGATACCACCTTCTCTCACCCACTAGCTTTTGGAAATGTATGGCAGTAATTTCTAGTTATCAAAATGGCAGGGGCTAAGTTCAGCAATTGGCAGGATACTAGATTAACATACAAAAATAAATCGTATTTCTACATATTAGCAATAAACATTCTAAAATGAAATAAAGAAAATAATTCCATTCATGATAGCATCAAAAAGAGTAAAATACTCAGAAATAAATTTAGCAAAAGAAGTATAAGACATGCATACTAAAATCTACAAAACACCACTTTAAATTAAAGACCTAAGAAGAAAAAAAGATATTTCATGTTTATGGATTAAAAGATTCAATATTGTTAAGATAGAAATACTCCTCAACCTGATCTACAGATTCAAATAATCCCTATGAACACCCCAACCTCCTGTTTTGCAGACATGAACATGTGGATCCTAAAATTCTCATGTAAATGCAAAGAACCCAGAATAGTCAAAACAACCTTTAAAAAAAACAAATTAGGAGAACTCACATTTCCTAATCTCAAAACTTACTACAAAGCCTCAGTAATCAGGACAGTTTGTTACCAGCATAAAGACAGTTATATAGATCGATGAAATAGGATTTAGATCCAGAAATAAACTCCTAAATTTAAGATTAATAGGTTTTTGACAAGGGTGTCAGAACCACTGAATGGGAAAAAATAGTCTTTTCAACAAATATTTGAACAACTAGATAACCACATGCAAAAGAATGAAGTTAGATGCCCACCTCACAACATATAAACAAAACAAAACAAAAACTCAACTGGATCACAAAACTAAATGTAAGATTTAAATGTATAAAACTCTTAGAAAACATAAGAATAAATCTTGTAACTTTGGATTAAACAATATGTTTTCAAGTTATGAATTTGATAAATGGGCTTGAAGTCATAATATATAAAGAACTCTTAGAGCTCAACGGTAAAAAGAAATTAATCCAATTAAAGGATAAATAAAAGATGTGAACAGACATTTCTCCAAAGATGACATAGAAAGTCAATAACCACATGAAAAGATGTTTAAAATCATTGGTCACTAGGAAAATACAAGTCAAATCCATAATTAGCTACTCACTAGGATGGCTTTAATCAAAAAGACAGGCAATAACAAGTGTTGGTGAGAATATGGAAAAATTGTAACCCCATGCATTGCTAATGGTGTAAAATGATATAGTCACTGTGGAAAACTGTCTGCCAGCATCTCAAAAAGTTCAACATAGAATTACCATATGACCCAGGAATTCTACTTCTAGTACACACACTGGAGAACTGAAACCATGTCCACACAAAAAATTTATACACGAATATTCAGGCCAGCATTATTCCTAATAGCTAAAAAGTAGAAACTACCCAAATATGCAACAACTGATGGATAAACAAATGTGTAAAATGACAAATGGATAAACAAAATGTGTAATATCCATACAATGGACTCACATTTGACAATAAAAAGGAATGAGGTACTGATACATGCTGTAACATGGATGAACCTTGAAAACATTATGCAAAGTAAAAAAAGCCAGTCACAAAAGCCATATATTAGATAGTTCCATTTATATAAAATGTCTAGAAAAGGCCAATAGAGAGAGACAAAAAAGAAAGATTAGTGGTTTCCAAGGAATGGAGGACAGGGGAATAGGGTGTGAGGAAAATGTTCTAGAAATAAACAGTGGTGATGGTCACACAACTTTATGACTTATACTAAAATATACTTAAAAGGGTGATGTTTATGGTATGTGAATTACATCTCAATAAAGTTATTTTTAAAAAATGATATAAATTTTTAAAAAATAATATAAATTTAGGCAGGGACCAAGTATGCTAGATATTCTGAAATATCATGAGAGTCCTAGTCAGTAGACTTTTAATAAAACACTATTGCCATTTATTTCTGAGTTAAGTTCTGCTGTTTTTTTCCTCATTTTCAGTTATGAAAAATCAGCGTTCTGTGGTAGATAAGGCACCAATTAAGAAATCAAAACATCTGGATACTAGTCTGATCTCAATTATCAGTAGCTGAGGCAAGTTATTTCACTTCTCCAAGCCTCTTTTGTCATCTAATAGATGAAGAGTGTGATGGTTAACTTTATCTGTCAACTTGGCTAGGCCACGGTGCTCAGTTTTGTGCTCAAACCTTATCCTGACTATTTCTGTGAGGGTGTTTCTGGATGAGATTAACATTTAAATATGTGAACTTTAAGTAACGCAGACTGCCGTCCATAACGTGAGTAGACTTAATTCAATCATTTGAATGAGGCCTCAGTAGAACAAAAGACTTAACCTCCACTGAGCAAAAGGGAATTCTGCCAGATGTCCTCTGGACTTGAACTGCAACATCGGCTCTTCCTGGGTCTCCAGCCTGCCAGACCACTCTGCAGATTTTGAACTTGCCATTCTCCATTATCATATGAGCCAATTCCTTAAAATAAATTTTTACACACACACACACACACACACACACACACACACACACACACACATCCTATTGGTTCTTTTTCTCTGGAGGACCCAAATTCAAAGAATATACCTTTTAAAGCTCTAAGGTCACTTCCATCTCTAATAATATCAGCATTCAAAATTATATGGTTTTTAAAAGTTGCAGGTGCTTCTGGAACATTTTAGAAGTTCCAATAAGAAAAGACAGTCATTTGCAAAGTGTCTACAGAGACAATACTTGCATTGACTCACCTGCCTTATAACTGTCCTTTAAAGTTGAGAATAAAATGTAATGGTTCCTAAAA